GAGGATGTTCGTAAGATGGGCCTCAACCATGGGCATCCAACCTATGCGGGCCACAGACAAGGAGGTCATCCTATTTCTCTCTGAGGGCCAGAAGCAGGGACTTCAACCAAACACCCTGAAGCACCAAGTGGCTGCCATACAAGCATGCTTGGGTAGCAAGACTCGAAGGAAGATATCATCCAGCAGTTATGTGAAGAAGTTCCTGAAGGGAGCTAGCCAGCTGGCTCCTCCGGTACGGCACAGATTCCCTAGGTGGAGTCACACAAGGTTTTGAACGCCTTTACTAGACTTCCATTCGAGCCTATGAAATCAGCAGAACTTCGGCTCCTATCATGGAAAGTCGCCTTCCTCATTGCAGTGACTACGGCTAGGAGAATCTCCGAGCTGGCCGCTCTTTCGGCAAGGAAGGAGCTCTGCATCTTCCCGTGAGATTCTGTAACATTGGGGATGGATCCATCATTCATCCCAAAGGTAAATTCTACATTCCATCTCAACCAGCCGATTGCATTGCCTTCTTTCTGTCCGAGGCCAACACACCCCAAGGAAATGTTGTGGCACAAGCTGGACGTACGTCAGGCTCTACGTATATATCTTCACAGAACGGCCGGCTTCCGTCGGTCCGACGCCCTGTTTGTGACTTACGGGAACCCAAATCAGGGGGAAAAGGCATCAAAAACTACAGTGGCTTACTGGATCTGGCAGTGCATTACCAAGGCCTATGAGGCACAAGGCCTCACCCCACCAGGCAAACTAACAGCTCATTCCACGAGAGCTGCTGCAACAACAGTGGCATTCTCAACACGAGCCGTGGTAGACGAGCTATGCAGAACAGCTACCTGGGCGTCATTCTCCACGTTTGTGCGAGACTACGGGATGGACCAAGCCGCGTCAGCAGAGGCGGCGTTTGGCAGACGAGTTTTGCAACAAGTGGTGAAAACATAATTAAAAAACCCCACACAATAACAGCCTTCAGGCAAGGGGTGCACCAAAGAGTGCGACTGATCACCCACCCCAGAAGAATAGTTTGGGTACAGCTAACCAGTTCCTGGATGACTTCCCCCCACTGAAGGAGAATGGTACATTGGACCTACCTGAAGGTTATTTCTCTTCAGTGAGGGAGAAGTCGTCCACATTCCACCCAAATCAGGCTGGAAGAAGGCAGTGGTGAAAAACGGAGAACTGCACCAAAATGAATAGAAATTATGTGGATGACAGCGAACATGTAGCAAGAGCGATCCACGGAAGGGCTTGGACATGACTAGAGAGGTCGGCCAGGGCCACTCCAATAGGAGCAATGCAACAAAAGAAATTTGCATAGCCTATCGAGCGAGCAGAGGCGTGACCTAACCAGTTCCTGGATGACTTCTCCCCCACTGAAGGGAAAGAACCTTCAGATAGGTCCAATGTAACATTTCATACAATACATGTGAAGCTTTGATCTCAGTTCAGAATAACCTGTTCTTTAAATATCAGTGAAAAATCTATCAAGTTCCCTTCCTCCCCGTTTTTAAACATCCAAATAGCTGTATCCAAGATATCTGTGATCTTAACGTAGGCTATTTTCAGGAGAATTACAAAAGAATACTGTTATATTTATTCTGAATTTATCAGTCGATTTTAGGAGGGAAATTAAGCATGTCACCTTTCTGGAATTTCCCATGTACATATATCTGGGAGTAAGTCTCATTGAAAAAAGTGGAACTTACTTCTGAGTAGACATACATTGGATTATACTGATGATCCTCTTTGCATCATATTACACTATACTTCATAAATGGTTCCGGTAACACCAAAAATCACTGGGCTTATTGTTAGAATCATGCTTAGCATCTACTGAGTAGAATAGCTTCTTAAAATTGAAACAGATGCTTAAAAATGACTGTTCAATATAGCTGCCATGCATGACTGTCGGTCTGACGGGAACTAAACAGTTCATATGACTATTTAAAAATATGTTGTTGGCTTAATGCAAGAGACCTAGCAACTATGTTATGAATATATAATTATGGCTCCCATTTTTACTCAGGACTTCTGAGAACTTGTCATAGCAACTTACTGAGCTTTGATCTCAGCAGTAGTTTGAAGTAGGGAGCTTGTTTGTGTGGTACTGCTGTATTCATGGACTCATTGTGACTGATAACTCATTCTGACTCCAGGCAGTGCACCAGATGATGAGTGGTGGCTTAAAATAACTATTGAAGCTGTGTATGATTTCCTGGCTGTCAGAGCACACAATAAGAACAACTGTCTGGATTTCTCCTCTTGTCTTGTTCCTCTCTAGCAGCTTTTTTTCAAATTATCCATCGCTGGTCCTTAGCAGCTAATACTTATGACTTAGTCAGGATAAATATGCATAGCACAAGCTGATGTTCATGAGGGGTGGGTGCACAGAATCACCTATCTTAAATTTTGCATGTGCCTGGACCTGCCTAAAACTGCTGGGTTTTTCTTACTGACCTCAAGGGCTGGACCCCGTGTCCTACCCCTATAACAAAATACTTGATTTCAAGAACTTGCAACCTTGGTTCTTTTGATCTTTTCTTCATAAGTATTTTCCTGAATAACTTGAGTTTTTGGGATTTTCTATAATGCGAAGTTGCCAAGAAAGGCAGATTTTTCTTTAGTAATCAAGCACTAATAATTCCTATTTAGCATACCATCCTCTTAACCATTCACACTGTGTAAAAGACACTCATTTCTTTTAGTAACCATAATTTGTAGAGGTATAATGATCTGTGTCAGCAGCAACCACCTCTCTCTCCTATCCCCAGTGAACCTTCTAGTTAATTTCATATGCTTACTTCTGAGAAAATGTGTCTAGGACTGTTGTAAGTTTCCTCCTTTTTAGTTCTCTCATTTGAGTATTTGAAATCACATGTGAGATTCAATTGGAAGAATATTTTCTATAGAGGAGCTCATGTAGCCTAATAATGACAAGACATACCTGGAAGACTGTTTGCGTTAAGGGTTAGTGTTGATTTGGTGGCTGCTGAAATACATGGATTTCCAGGGCAGTGGGTTTTTATAGAGAGAGGGAGAAAGAAAAACTTGGGATTACTTGATCCAGCAAATATGTTGGGTTTTGTATATCATCTAAATTAGTTGCTGTTTCCCACATCAGGATCTTATCTAAGGGAATCTTTGGAAGCGATTTCTCAGATTACAGCTTTAGTATTGATCTGAGCCACACCCATGGTGTGGCAAGTGGACCTCTCTGACTGATAGCTTTGGTCTCATTGCCTATTTTTCTATCATGACAGAGTACTGGAGTTTACTCTGAGCAATTCTGCTGTTCCTCCTGTCCTCAGTAAATTCCAGCCAGGCTTTGGTATGTACTTGTCACCCTAGAGTCAGCTGGTCATGGTGGACTGACCTCATCCTTCTGGTGTTTGGAAGCTGGTAGTGGTAGATACAATGTTGCTTTCTGAAGTTATTTTTCTCTAGCTTTTAAAGGAGAAAATCTGCTGGCAATGGCTTTATGTGCTTATTTGACATCTTGAGTGTTCCTCACTGCTGAGGTTTGATCTCCTATCATTTGCTGCTCTGTGTCTTTTCCATTTGATCAGGGGAAATTCCCTATCTGATGAGGCTGCTTCCATCTGTCTTGAGTGTAGGTGTATAGATAAGTTATTCAGATGTACTTTCCCTGTCCTTCTGTCTGCCAGTGTGGGAACTGATGATGAATTATGGAGAGTCCCCATAAATAGGTATACCAAACACTTTAAACTGTGTCCATGCATCACAAATTCTGTGCCCAGAAAAGCTGAGCTCTGTAACTTTCATAAATGTTGTAGATTGTATGACATATATTACTACAGGCAAACTCTTCAGTGCTAGTGAAGTGAGAGGGTAGGGAGCTACATAAGAGCCCGAAGCCCCTCCCTGAACTGCTGGGAGTCTGTTTTAGCCACCCTTCTACCTTCTGAGGTATCAGCACTCATCGCCTCTCACAATTTCTTGCTTGCTTTAAAAAAATAAAAACTGAGATAGGAAACTGAATTCTGCATCTCACACCAGTACAAAGTCACAGTATATGCACAGCTCTAGCGATAATTCAGAAATGAGTTTGGCCCCTGAATTTCAGGTAAACATATTAAAACCCTTCTTGTGATAGGAATGACCTACGGGAGTGTACCTCCCACTGATTTAAAATCTCTCCTCAAAACCAACTTGTTTGTAAAGCCTTTTACATAACCCCTTATTCCCCATCCCTTACAAAAATATGCCTAAGTTTGTGTTACTGGAATGTCTACATGCCTACATTCTTTCCTTGCATCTCCAGCTCCTCCTTCCTACTTACTTCTGTTTCCTTTAAGACAGATCTTAGATTATAAATCCTTCAGGGTAGGGGTGTGATGTCTTTAAGTGTGTACACATTAAAACTACTATGTAAAAAATAGTAGTAACAAGAAGTGGGACCCGCGATACTTGCGGGGAGGGGGAGTATTCCCCACAGCTCCCCACCTGCAGAAGCAGCAGCAGGTGAGCGCTGGGGAGACAGTTGCCAGGGCATTCTCTGTGCATGCACAGGGAACGCTGCTTTACTTTTGGGGGGATTTAAGTATCCCCCCTATAATTTTTAAAACTTTTTAGATTTTTCTGCACACCTAGGGATTGCCCTAAATGTGCAGGAAAATCTCCCTGCCCCCCAAGTGCCCCTGATGTGTGGATTTAGATATCCGCACGGAGGGGGCAACTTGGCTATTAGATATACTTGAGTGAATGGGAACTGACACAGGAAGTAGCTGTAAAATGGATGATTTTTAGCTTTTTAGATTATGAATTTTTTAAGGTCAGGCTATATAGTCTTGTTCCTGACTTTTTCATAATGTAATGAAACAGACACTTTTCTTGTAATCTGGTACATCTAAACACTGACAATTATTAACAGTTTCCCAAGATGTATGTGGGGGAAGGGCTTCACTTCTTAAATTCTTCTGAGTATTTCTGTGGATAGTTATACAGAAACTGCAGAATTCTAATTTTCTTATTATTTCTAGACAGCAAAGATGAGAATGGCAAGACCCAAAGAGCTGATGGTCTTATTGTGAAGAAAATCAAGAAAAAGAAGAAAAAGAAACACAGAGAAGACATGAGGGGGAGACATCTGAAAATGTACAACAAAGAAGTGCAGACTGTGTGTGCTGGTCTTACCCGTATCAACAAAGAGATTTTGACTCCGGGGGAGAGTGATAACTTGGAAGATGACAAGGAATCTTTTAGGTATCTAAAAGATGAACAGCTGTGTCAGTTGAATTTGGGCATGGAAGAATACAGAATACCCCAGGGAGTGCAGTCTCCGTTTACTACCCACCAGGAGCATTCTGTTCGCAGCAACTTCTTAAAAACAGGCACTAAATTTAGTAACTTTATTCATGAAGAACATCAGTCAAATGGTGGAGCTCTGGTCCTTCATGCCTACATGGATGAACTCTCATTTTTGTCTCCAATGGAGATGGAGAGATTTGCAGAAGAGTTTCTTGCTTTGACATTCAGTGAAAATGAGAAAAATGCAGCTTACTATGCGCTAGCTATAGTCCATGGGGCAGCTGCCTACTTGCCAGATTTCTTGGATTACTTTGCTTACAACTTTCCTAACACTCCAGTGAAAATGGAAATCCTTGGCAAGAAGGATATTGAAACAACAACAATCTCAAACTTTCACACTCAGGTAAGAGAAGTTTTCTTAAATATGTAAGATAACATAAAAGAATCCTAGCACTATTGAAGGACTCACACGAGACACTGTCTTTGAGGGTTGAAGCACCGGTCTGCCCTTTGAGGCAGCAGGCGTTTATTTTATACACTCTGCTCTCAACATAAGATGAGACTGTGGTTTACACAATACATGAAACAAAGGAAAACCAGATGCTCAGGCAGAATGTCCGGAATGTTTGCATAGCATAATTACTAGTGATAACAAGCTACTCCTGGTGCCTAAGATGCCTGCATGGACAAGATGGGCAAAGGTCAGAATTAGTGTACCAAGTCACTGATCTACCTTATGTTAACAGAGGCAGGATGTAGTGAGATCAAGATTGGTGTGCCATATCGTTAATCTTCCCTAATCTCAACCAAAGCCCAGACTTCATATCAGTCTGTGTCTGTGACACCTGTTACCTTAAACTGGTTAGTGCACACCTTGCCAGCCTCTGTAGCTGAATCTTGGATACCACCCTAACTACTTTTATTTCACACAGCCAGGACTCCTCTACTTCTTTCCCCAGTGTTCCAACATAAAATTACATTGCTTGGCATTCCCTCAGTGATCCCTACTTCCTTCCGATTTTTAACAAGGTATTTGTGTGTTGGTTTTTAGTAGCATTTAAGATGGTATTTTAATTTGTATGTTTTAATTTGTTAGCTACCTTGGTGGCCCTATGGGGTCAGAAAGGCAGGATAAAAATCTTGATGATGATGATGATGATAAGAATAAGAATAATAATTCTTTGTAGCCTCAGGTGAACTTACCTGTTCCTTACAGAAGTTATCCTCTGATATGCATAGATTGAATTTTATGCCAGGATTTTCCATAGATAAGAACTTAGTGTCCCAAGAACTGAGTGTCCCAAGAGTTCCTGTTTATGCACAAGACAAATCTGTAGGGACTTTCTCAGGGAGTTTAATTTTTCCCTTTCTTCCTACGTAAGTCTTAACTGCTATGTTAAACTGATAATAGGCATTAAACATCTACAGAGGTTCTGTTTTGAAAATATCTATAGTACTCATGACTAGTCTGCTTTATTAAAATGAAAAGCATTTGCAAACATAGCACTGATGAACTTGAACTAAAGAAGGTCCTTCCTGTCTAGTTCTCACATGGATGGCCACGGGCAGCCTTATTACTATGTACCTTTTCTTCATAATGGTTAGACTTTGTCAAAAAACTCCTGTTCTTGTACAAATGTCTGAACAGAGAATCTTGACTAATATCTCATGAGATCTATTAGCAATTTGAGGTTGCCTAGCGACCAAGACACTGGAGCCTGGACCTAGGCAATCATAACTAGAAATAAGGTTGGGATAGGGTTGCCAATTTTGGTTTAGGAAATTTCTAGAGATTTTGGGGTGGAGCTGGGGTAGGGTATAATGTCAGAGTATAATGCCATCAAGTCCAAAGCATCCATTTTTGCCAGGTGAACTCATCTCTGTTGCCTAGAGAACAGTTGTAATTCCAGGAGATCTCCGGACCCCACCTAGAGGCTTGCATCCCTAGTTTGTGAGAAGGAGACAGTGAGGAGGAAGGGAGGTGAGCGAGGGGAGGGAAAATAGGTGGATGTAAAGAGAAGGCTGGAGAAGAGAATGAAAGGAAAACAGGGTGAGGATAGAGACAGTAGAGAAGGCTGGGAAAAGTAAAAAATGGGGTGGGAGGAAGAAAGCAGAGAAAAACAGGAAGAGAGAACGTGTGTGTGTGTGGGGGGGGAGACAGGATTTCTTCTTGTGGAAGTTTCTCCAGTCCCCAGCTTGTAATACTTCTAAATTGCTTGTGCCCAAAAGTTTTAGATGTTTTGTTGGGATCCAAAGGTTTTCCTTCAACAGAAGGGGTTATTTTTGCTGAACCCCCCCCCACTGGTCCTGTCCCTAAGGAGGAGCATTTTGGAGATCTTTGTGGGCTGGAGTAGAAGAGAATCAATGAAACTTTCCTTTCTTCTACTGGTGGAGATGACTTTCATTAATGGAAAATGAGCTGTGCATTCAACGCATTGTTCTATGATGCCAGTGTCTGAAAAAACATGTTTTGGTTGAATGTCACACAAGTTTGCCTTATGTGGTTGTATCTGTGCTTTTGATGTTAGTCTTCTTGTTGTGAAGGCCTGGAGGGAAACCAGAATAATTCGGGGGGGGGGGGAACAGTTCTTTCTTTTTTTTCTGAGGACTTTTTCAATTTTCCCAGTGGAAAACATGAGGAAAACTGAAAAAAAAACAACACCTACATTTAATTCGTTTGCAGTTCGTAAAATGTGCTAAGATAGCATAGAACACTTTGCAGGTCTCTCTGGCTTTTAATATTGGGTATATTTGCAATTGTAGAAAACATAAGAAGAGCCCTGCTGGATCAGACCAATGTTCCATCTAGTTCAGCATCCTGTTCCACACAGTGGCCAACCAGTTCCTCTGGGTAGCCAACAACACAGAGGCCGAGGCTTTCCCCTGATGTTGCCTCTTGGCTCTGGGATTCAGAGGATTAAATGTGGAGGTTCCTCTCAGTTACCATGGCTAGTAGTCATTGATAGACTTGTCCTCCATGAATCTATCTAATCCCCTTTTAAAGCTGTATATTCCTCTGGCCATCACTACATCTTCTGGCAGTGAATTCCACATTTTAATCACCCTCTGTGTAAAGTCATAGTACCTTTTGTCTGTGCTGAACCTACTGCCCATCATTTTCACTGGATGCCCTTGAGTACTAGTATTTTGGGAGAGGGCGAAAAAGATTCTCTTTGTCAACTCTCTCTCCACCCAATGCATAACTTTATAAATCTCTATCATGTCCCCCCCTTAATCTTCTCTTTTCTAAACTGAAAAGACCCAGAGTCTTCAGCCTTTCCTCAGAGGGAAAGTGCTCCAACCCCCTCATCATCTTGGTTGCCCTTCTATGCACTTTTTACAACTCTGCAATGTTGTCCTTTTTGAGATAGGGAGACCAGAACTGTACACAGTATTCCAAATGAGGCTACACTATAGTTCTATATAGGAGCATTACGGTATTGGCCGTTTTATTATCAGTCCCTTTCCTAATAATCCCTAATGTAGAGTTTGCCTTTTTCACTGCTGCAGCACACTGGGTTGACACTTTCATGAGTTATCCACCACAACCCCATGATCTTTTACCCTGTCAGTCTCAGAAAGTTCAGACCCCATTAGCCTATACTAGAAGTGGAGATATTTTGTCCCATTGTGCATCACTTTACACTTACCAACACTGAACTTCATTTGTGACATTGTCGCCCACTCACCCAGTTTGTGGAGGTCCTCTTGGAGCTCTTCACAGTCAGCCTTAGTTTTCACCATCCTGAATAATTTGGTCATCTGCAAACTTGGCCACTACACTTACTCACCCCTAGTTCCAGATCATTGATGAATAAATTAAATAGTACTGGCCCCAATAACTTATCCTTGTGGGACGCTACGTCTTCCCTCCATTGTGAGAACTGTCAATTTATTCCTACTTTTCGCTTCCTGTTATTTTACCAGTTTTTAATCCATAACAGAGCCCATCCTCTTATTCCATGACTGCTATGTTTACTCAGGAGCCTTTGGGGGAGGCACCTTGTCAAAAGCCTTTTGAAAGTCCAGGTGTAGACTTCTGGTTTATGACGGCGCGCTGAGCAGACTCACCTCCCGGACCTCCCGGGGGTGAAGCTGCGCACCAGCAGAAAGGAGGGGGGGCGAGGCATCGCTCCCCCCCCGGAGCCTGGCTGAAAGGCTCCTAGCCATGGGACTTCTGAGAGGTCGCCTCTTCGCCAGCACGATGCTGGGGAATCGAGGCGCTTCTCCGTCCCGACGGTCCTCCTGCTGAGTGTCCAAATGGAACTAGTGAGGCTGACCGGGACAAGCGCTGGAGATCGAGCGGTTAAAACGGAGGCTAAGCGATGTCGTATGACCGAATATGAACTGTGAGTCGGATTAGAGCGTATTTGCTAATTTAAAAAGAAAGCTCCCTACCCCACGGACTAGAAAGTAAAGCAAGCGGGGGAGGGGCTCTCCCATGCGCATAAACTTAAAAGCGAGACCCGGGGGGGGGGGGAGCGGAAGCAAAAGCAACGAAATCTGTTGGGAAAGACTTACCAAGGCGCGTATGAGCGCATATTCAGAGACTTTAAAAATCTTTGCAAAAGTAAACAATCCATAAAGATGGCGGGGAAGAGGACTGAGAAAGAAAAACGTTCAAAAGCGAAAGTAGCTGAGAGCCCACGACCGGAAGGAACCACCAAGCTGGCCAAAACGTTGGCAGAATCCCTGCACCCCTGCTGGACCAGATGATTAATCTCAAGGAACAGCTGTCAACAATGAACCAATGCATCACTACTCAGCAGTTGCAATTGAATGAGACTCTTAAAATTCCAGAACAGACAGCTGAGAAAGTGAAAGAAGTTGATGCCACTGCTCAAAAGGTGAAGAAAAAGGTATAAAAATTGGAAAAGAAGCAAGTTTCTACAGAAGAACAGCTTTTACAATTACAAATGGAGAAGGCAAACCTGGTCCTTCGTTTCCAGGGTGTCCCAGAGACTAAGGGCGAGAACCTGAAGCAAATGATGAGTGAAGCACTGGCCCCAGTGACAGATTTGAAGGCGGAATTTTTGATGAGCGAGATGAATGTAGCCTATAGGTCGTATTCCGGATATATAAAGAAAAATAATCTGCCTGGGGAAATAGTAATGAGATTCTCGAAGAGGCACGTGAGGGATTCAATCCTGAGAGCGACAGCGGGGTCACCTGTGAATATTGGGGACAATACTATCAGGATCCTGAAAGATATCCCATTTGAAATAAGACAAAGGAGAAAGAAATAAAAAGATTTAATTCTTTTTCTTCAAACACAATTGTGTACAGGTGGCTAATTCCAGAGGGTGTAACCTTCAAACTTCAGGATAAAAAAGAAAAGATTGACTCTGTTTCCAAAGCACGGGAGTTTCTGAGAATCCAGTTGGGAGAGCCAGAGGAGGTGGA